TCCTCTTCTTCAAAAACAACTGTCGTCGCTGCCACTGCTTCTGCAACATTGGTCTGTGTGCTCTGCCTCGATGCCTAGCTATCTACTGATTTTTTTTAAGTAGATTAATTATTATTACTCGGACTAGCCAATTAATTTTTAATTGCGTAATTAATCGGTTGTATGTTATGACTACTTTCTGCTTTAATTAGTTCAAATTCATGTATCCCTTCTCCACTCCATCTTTGAAATAAATTTAATGATTTGATTTCATAGAATCTAATGGCAAATAGAATTCTAATCTTATTTAGTTTCTTTATATGGTATTCATTCTTTACTGAGTTATTACTTTCTTTTGTTCAGTGGAACACATTGTTTTTAAATTGTATTGTTATTTGGGTAAACGATATAGAGCCTATCATACACAGGTCCCAACCAAACGTCATTCCACTCTCATTGTTGTGCCCATTCTTCACCAAAACTCAATAAGTTTAATGTCATTCTATTCTTGAGATTGCAAGGAATGTTAATCGGTTGTATGTTATGACTACTTTCTGCTTTAATTAGTTCAAATTCATGTATCCCTTCTCCACTCCATCTTTGAAATAAATTTAATGATTTGATTTCATAGAATCTAATAGCAAATAGAATTCTAATCTTATTTAGTTTCTTTATTCTTGGGTTATTATATTTGAGCCTCCAAAAAAGAAAAGAATTAAGTGTCTCTACTTTTGAACATGTTCCTTATATGGTATCCCTTCTTTACTCATGAGTTATTACCTTCTTTTGTTCAGTGGAACACGTTGTCTTTAAGCTGTATTGTTATTTGTGTAAACGATAGCCTATCATACACAAGTCCCAACCAAACGTCATTTTGCTCTTATTGTTGTGCCCAGTTTGGCCATAGAACACACGTCTGCTTCAACGAGAATGCTTAGAGGATTAGGCCCACAATCATTTCTTTGAAGTGATTAGACTTCACTTTTACATAAGTGATTCTTCTAAGAGATAGTATCCTGATTGCTTTGGTTAGACTACTGTGTCTATTAGATATATAAACAAATCAAATATTTTGAATTCGATTCGTGATTCGTATTCAAATATAAGGATTTGAATTCGCATTATTCAAATACAAATTCAAATTCAAACATTATTTTTTATTCGAATATTAAACAAATACAAATACAAATAGGGATATATTTGATTTGGATTATATTCGAATATTCGAATATATGTATATATGCACGGACCATGTTTTCAACATCAAAAGTCAAGTAAAGTAATATAGTATAAAGTGTATTTAAATTACTAAGAATTCAATAAATTAACGTAACACGAAAATCTAAAGCATATGATTTTTAATAGTTATATTTTATAAAATATAATTTGTGTAAGATGCAAATGTATTAATGTTTTTAGATACGGAATATAGTATAGTATATGGAGTATTGTAAGTTAAATTACAAATCGATATTGGTCCATCATATAATTTCATAGTATGATTATTCAAATATTCATTTAGGATTTGATAACTATTCGAATATTAATCAAATACATATTCAAATCTTATTTTGAATTCGTCTCACATTCGGATTCGGATTCGTATTCGAAAAAATTAAATAAATACAAATCCAAATATCTCGGTATTCACTTCGATTCGGTTCGTTTACACCCCTAGTGTCTATTGCTCAAGAATCGGTAAAGCATATTCCTCAGGGGATTTTAGGACCTCGTAAGCTTATGAGGCACCATCGAAATTTCCTACCTTTCCTTACTCTTCGTGTGAAGTCAATACCTAAAAAAATTAGATCAAGGAAATATGAGAGAGAAGAGAAGAGAGAAGAATAGTATTTTCCCCAATTTGAATTAATAATTGTTTTTCGGTTTTTAATAATAATTATATGAGTAATAGTAATAATAATAATAGTAATAATAATAGTAATAATAATAATAGCAATAGCAATATATATAGTAATAATAATAAAAATTGTAACATCTCAAAACATACCATAAAATTATTAATAAATAATTATTCGATTTATCAAATTTGTTTTGATTAAAATAAATTGTTGTTGGGCTTTGGACTGAAATAAAATATGTAATGATATCCAATATCACAATCTAGATAAATCTCATAGAGATAAATCTAATACATTGACTTACTGTGTGATCTTAATTGGATAACTAGAGTATAAACCTAAATTAAGAATAAATGAAAGATTTGTTTATGATGTGAACTTTGAAATGATTTGTTGAATAAATCATGAGAATAATTAATATGAATGGAATGTAAGAACCTTTCTGAGTAAAAGTCAATTAAATCAATTTTTTACTTTGTCAAAGTCAAACGCCCAAAATATGACGTCGGAAAAAATATTACAAATAATTATGAAAATTATATCCTTGGATAGAGTTTCACTGTCCGATCACAACAGTGCAAACGAATTTCAATTCAGAAAAAGTTGGACCAAAAGTGTACCCCGACTGGGACTGAAATTAGTCCCAATCAGGGACTTGCATTTGGAATCAGAGAAATATAGCAGCCCGCTCCACTCAGACGCCAAAACAGGAACTACGTACATCACCATTGACTTCTTCTTCATTTTCTCTCCTATATAAACCACATTCACTCCCTTCATTCTTCACCAAAACTCAATAAGTTTAATGCCATTCTATTCTTGAGAGTGTAATGAGTGTTATGGTGCTGTCAATTTGGAGTGAAGTCACCGGAGATAGCCACAAACGTCACCGGAAGTTTCGCTGGAAAATTTCCAAAACCTTCATTAAGCTTCGAGGTAAGCCCGTAGATATATCTAGTGACTAGAATGTTCGTGTAGATCGTTTCTACGTTCATAAACGGTCATTTGGTTGAGTTTTGTGTTTGACATGCTTGAAGAAGAATCATGAACTATGAAATTGTTGTTAAAACTATGAATTAATGGTACCAAGATGATCTATGAACCTTGGAAAATATTTTATATAATTTAGTTGAAGTTCGGTAGCTAAAAATGGTATTTTCAAAATTGGACCCGAGAGGAAGAAGATGATGAACAGTAGTCGAAAATGGGCAGGGTGGATCGATCCCCTGAGAGTATTTTTCCATAGCATGGATCGATCCAGCCCGCTGGATCGATCCCCCGAAATTATGACCCAAAAACATTTCTGAAAATGTTATTTTTGATACCAATTGAATATGATCATTATAAAGATGATTTTTCATAGTAAAAAAAATAATGTTTTTGACAAATAAAATCTTGTGTGATACCAATTGATTATGATCATTATAAAGATGATTTTCATAGTAAAAAATAATGTTTTTGACACATAAAATCTTGTGTGATACATGATGGTAAGCTAGAGTGTTAACACTCGAAGCTATGCCGCTATTTATTATTGAATATTTTGTTGATTATTACTAATTGATGACTATGATGATGATCATTGATTGATAATTATGATGATTAAACCTTAATAAATATTCTCATTAAAAATGATAATTATGAATGATTAAATCATAATGAATGTATTGATGATTGTGAAAATAATATGTATTGTTAAGGGTATCTTGAATAATTCTAAGATATATCCACATTAATGTTGATTAGAAGGATATTTAGAAGAACTCTAAGATATATATCCAAATGACCATTTTAGTTAAGTGATATTGATTTCAATGGTATCTACAATAACTCTAAGATATACTATAGTGATGTTGATTTAGAATGATATCTAGAAGAACTCTAAGATATACCCATTTAAGTGAGGCCTTGCGGGTATGATGCCCGGTGGCCAGAGTTAAAACGTACGTACGGGATTCAAGAACCAAACTTGAGTACCTACTCATTTGGGGGTATCATCTGACCCAACAGTGAACACTACGCTGTCAGTTTCTGGTTGACCTTAACCGAAGGTAAGTTTAAGATCTTAAAAATCTTTTTGAAAATCTGTATCTTAAATTAGGCCTACCTTAAGGGTTGCTTAGGAATACATTAAACTAGAATTAATTTAAGAATCAAATTGGCATTGGACTAGAAGTAATTTATGAGCATTGTTGATATTGTGAATGTTGAATATGAATGATGAATAAAAATGATGAATATGAATGATAAATGTTGAAAATGAAAATGAATATAAATGTTGAATGATTGAACAATGAATGTTGAAAATGTAATATTGATTATTGAACATCTGAACTGAACATTATGTGCATGATATCAAATGAATTGATTATTAATTGAGTTTCAATTTATATGAATGTTCGACGCATTATATATGTTTATTCAGCTTAAACGCTGAGCGTGTAGTATGTTTTATTTACTACACGCAGGTTAATAGAAATAATGATATGACGTGATCCTGAAGGCAGACAGAGGCGAGATTGTCAGAATGGATGTGATGGTTTTGAATTGAAATACATAAATAAATCATGTTTGTGATTATGATTTGTTAAGCTTCCGCGATATTGAAAATTTCGTACTGTTTATGTTATGAAAAATATTATTGTGATAAATAAAAGTGTTTGAAATGTTTTAAATTTTTACGATTACCAAGTTAATACTTGAGTTCAAAAGGGGATGCAGACATGGACGGTTTAGGGTGTTACAAAAATAGTAATAATAATAACTATAATCATAATACTATAATACTAATAATAATAATAACAATAGTAATAATAATAATAGTAGTAATAAATATAATTATACTCTCTTCGTCCTAAAATTATCTTCTCACTTCCTCTTCTTCTCCGTTCTAAAACTATCTTCCCACTTCTTAAAAAAAGTACGAATAGACTATTTTACCCCTCTCTCAACTCTCTCAACTTGCTTCTCATCCCTCTCCTACCACACGTTATCTTCGTCTCTCAAGTCTCATCCCTCTCCTTCGCAATATCTCCGTCTTTCCTCCATCTCCATCTCTCTTCCCTCCCTCTCAAAATCTAAACATAACCCTCTCTGTCTCTCTTCGGCTCCCCCACCCCCTCAAAATCTTGATCCAATCTTCTTCTCTCTATCTTAATATCTAGATCTAATTGTTTCTCTTCCTCGAAACATAGATCTAATCTTTTGTTTGAAAACCTAGCGGCGGCGATATTGAGCAGTAGAAGAAAGCAGAAAAATGGAGGTTGGAGACAAAGCAATTGGAAACTGCAAGAGCATAAGGGCGATGTTGTTGCTGCAATAAGACACTTGCTCAATGCACTTGAAGAGGAAGCAATTTCATAATTCATTTTATTTAAATTTGTTTAGTTGCTATTTTTTTTTAATTTTTTTAGATACTAGTGTTGATTCAAGAACCATGCCTCCGTGAAAGAAGAAAACATCAAGAAAGAAGGGCAATGATTTTTGTTCCCATTAAGGTTTCAGTCCGGGGGAGAAGGATTAAGGGGGCATTTTGGGAAAGTCAACCCAATTTTTACACTCTCTTAAAAACCATCTCCGGTCAACCCAGAAAGATGATTTTAAGATGGAGGGAGTAAGAATAATAGTAATAGTAATATATATAGTAATAATCATAATATTGGTGATCACTAACAATAGTAATCATAATAATACTCCGTAATAGTAATAGTGATAATAATAGTAGTAGTAATAGTAGTATTAACAATAATTATATTAATAATAATTGCGTTTAGATCTTATCCTATAAGACTTGATCTGATCTGATTTTAATAAAATAAGTAATAAGCAGAAACAATAAGTTGAACGGAATTCATCCTAAGAGTGTTTGTAATGCCCACCCACTCCTCTCCCGCTTGCCACGCTATGTGGCATGACCGATCACGCGCACCTCGCCCCTAGTGGACGTGAGAGTACGTACTGCAGAAAGATTGGCGCTAAGTGGCATGATTTTTTAATTCTTCTTTCATTTAATTATTGTACTAAATTGTCTATTTTGTTTATAATATCTTATACGTAATTGTTTTCATGATAAATAATACAAAAATTGCTGCCAGGTACCCCTTATTTTGTAATAAGAACTCCCAGGTACCCCTAATTTATAAAATATACTTTCAGGTACCCTAAATTATAAAAAAATACACCAATGGGAGATTTCCCATCCACTCTCTGTCTATCCCCTTTATCCGTCAAGTGCACCATCACCATCACCATCATCATCATCCATCATCCATCATCATCATCATTACACCACCACCATCCCCATTTCTTCCTTCTTCTTCTTCTTCTTCTTCCCCTCTTTCCACTCCCGATCTTCTAGACCCCCCACCACTCACCCTTATTTCTCCTTCTTCTCCTTCTATTATTATTATTATTATTATTATTATTATTATTACCATTATTATTATTGTTTTTCTTATTCTTATTATTATTTAGTTGTTTTACTACTATATTTTTAACAAAAAATATTAAAGCTCCCACCAAAAAATCGGATACTCCAATAATCTTTCACAATCTCTATTAATGTAAAAAAACAAAAAATTATTGTTTGGTACCCTTAATTTTGTGCTTAGAGCTGTCGGGCACCTTCAATTTTATAGTGAAACTATTAATTAATTTTTAATAATAATAATAATAATGAATAATAATAGAAGAAGAAAATATTAGTTCATAATAATAATAAATATATAGTAGAGGTAGAAGAAAATTATACTTCGTAATAAATAAATAAATAATAATAATTAGTTTTAATATTAAAAAATTATTAATTTTAATTTTTAGTATTAACAATAATAACTTAGAAGAAGAAAATAATACTTTGTAATAAATAATAATAATGCGTAGTAATAATATACGGAGTAATAAGAATGATGGTTTTTTTGTTAATAAAAGAGAATGATGATGATGATACTAATAATAATAATAATAATAATAATAATAATAATAACAATAACAATAACAACAACAACAACAACAACAACAACAATAATAATAATAATATAAGGAGAAGAAGAAGAAATATAGGGTGAAGGGTGGTGTCAGGAAGATTGGAAGTGGATGGAGGAGAAGAAAAAGAACAAAGAAAAAGAAAGAGAAAAAGAAGAGAGGAGGAAGAACGAAGATGGGTCATGATGATATGATGATGATAAATTTGGGTTATTTGACGGATGAAATGGGGTAGACGGAGAAAGTGATGAAAAGTGGAGTATCTTCTTGGTAAGTTTTTTTAAAATTTAGGGTACTTGAGAGTATATTTTGAAAATTATGAGTACCTGGTAGTTCTTACCACAAAACATGAAGTATCCGGCAGCAATTTTTTGTAAATAATATGCCTTTGAAACCTTTTCAAAAGATCCAATACTGCATGTGAAATTTTGATGCTATGTCCCGTTTTTATTTTCATCTAAGTACTTTAGAATTGAAAAACCGTGTTAATGTAATTTATACATTTTTAATATAATTGTTTTATTTTTTGGGTGTCATGTGAAAAAATGCGTGGTAGGAAGAAAAAGTTGTAATCGTATTTTTAGTTGTTCAATAGTTTTTTTCCTCATTATTTATTTTTTCATGTTTCTTTGACGTTGTAAAAAAATAAAATTGAATGAACTTATTTTTTGATGTTTATTTTTTTAATTTAACTTTTATAATATAAAAATTGGAAAAAAATAATTATAATCCTAAGAGAAAGAAATAATACATCGAAAGAAAAAAGAATAATAATAAACCTAAAAACATAACAAAATAATTTTTTACTCTTTATAAAAGATATAATTTAATTTTAATAGAAATATGTAAATATTAAATAAAAATGAAATCATAACCATTGCAGTGAAAGTGAGGTATTATACTAAAATGGGTGTGAAGTGACTGAGATGATGAATACAGTTAGCGCTGATGTAACGCCAAGTAGGTCCTGATTTGGAGTGAACCATCATGGTTGAACGCTACCGATTTCTCAAATGATGTTAATTTGGAGTGAGCATTAATAGAGCCTCAAAGATATCATAAGAAAAGATATAAGGTCTGTTTGGGAATAACGTTAGAGATTAACGTTAGCGTTTTGGATAAAATTTTAACGGTGCAGATTACTTTGAAAACGCTAACGATAAACGCTGTTCGTAGATAACATTTTTAAAACGCTAACGCTAATCATTAACGCTATTCCTAAACAGACTCATAAAAAATAGACAAATGTCTATGGTGTACTTAAAAAATTGATTGTTTTTCGGGATACTCTAATACTTTGTCTGGTTGAAAGAAAATAAGGAGGAAAGAAGGAAAATGAAAGAAAACGGAATAATTCTGAATTTCTATTGGTAGGTTTTAATGAGAGGGAAAAAGATAAAGGAAATTAAATAAAATGACAAAATTGTCCTTGTATTAAAAATAATGAATTGTGTGAAAATGATTATTTTGTGGGCATTTATGGGAAAGTGCTCTTTTACAGTCAACGGGTCCCACACACTTCCTTTTTTTTATAATAGCCATTTCCTTCCTATTTTTCTTTCCTCTCTTTTTCCACCCTCAGCTTGGGGTAAGAACAATTCCACAGGAGAAGTCAATTGCTAAAATACAAAAAATTTAAATGTTGTGGGAAATTTAGTCTCCAATAAATGTGTTGTCATTTAGCTAATAAGCTAAATTACCTTGGAAATCATCTATTTATGTACATCCATTGTAAAAAATGTTATAAATAAAAATAAATAAAACACCATGTATTATAATAATAATACTATTAGTATTTGGACAAATTGTGATTATATTCATATTCTTAAATTACAAACTTAATACGGAGTATAAAATTAGGAGTAACAAAAATGTATAATGCATATCTTATGATTGAAATTGATAGTACGTGACCATATTAGATGACCTGTTTGGGAATATCGCTAGAGATTAGCGTTAGTGTTTTGGACAAAATTTTAACGGTGCAGATTATTTTGAAAACGGTAATGCTAGTCTGCAGATAACATTTTCAAAACGCTAACGCTATCCCCAAAGAGGCATAGAAACCGAATGTTATTGGTAGATCATATACGCATTGTAAGAATTTCCTCAAACTAGCATTCTTTAATTTCCTACCAAGAAATCATCTCAATTAATTTTCTTTTTAGTACTCACTCCGTCCGAAAATATTCTTTCCATTTGATTTTTCACGATCTCCAATGTTGCTTTTTGACCATTAATATATATATTTATACATAAATATATTTTATAAAAATTTGATATTTCAAAACTACATTTTGTTAAGAATATATTGATATTAAATTTATATCATAATACGATGTATTTTTTCCACAAATTGAAGTCAAAGTTTACAAAGTTTGACCAAGAAAAGTTAAATGTGAAAAACATTTCCGGAAGGGAGTAGTAATTTAATTTCAAAATTTGAATAATGATGAGGCCTCACCATTGGGTTTCCCTAGCCAATCTGGTTAAAGTATCAAAGCCGCGGTGGCGTGGTGATATTCCTCCCGATTACCAAAGCAATCGACGCCGCGTGAGAAAGCGAGAGCCAGCAAATTCAATGGACGCCATTCTCTAGATCTTATTGCTTCTTCTTCTTCTTCATACATTCTAACGCATTGCTGACTCCTCCATAGCTTTTTTCCCGTAGCAGAGTAAAGCTTTCGATTTTATGTTGTATGTAAATGGTTCACGGCGGCGAATAACTGCTGGGAAGTTGAGGAAGTTGTGTTAGTAGGATTTGGAGCTGGGCTTTATAGATTCCACTGCATGTTTGATTGATTTGTATTGCGATGATGATGGCGGATGAGAGCGCTAAACGTTGGTCTCCTGAGAAGTTGCCGGAGCCCGGCGGCGGAGAAACTGAGGCCTCGGGAATTCCGAGTGAGAGAGATTTGGATTTGGAGATGGTTTGGAGCTTGCTTTCGGACGATGGTTCTGATCCAGCACAGGTATGCCTACTTTGCCTGCTTCTTGAGTTTGATCATTGGCTTTTTTGTTTCTTGTTTAAATCTGATTTATAGTTCACCTGGCAACAGAAAAAATAGTGTAGTTTCAGTCTGTATGTCTATTTTGTTCTTTCTTGGCATGCGCATTTGAGCATTTGTTTTCCAACTTTCTCTGCCCATGAGTACTGATGTAAACAGAATTGGAGGTTGATCAAATTTAGACTCCCCGTTCCACGAATTTATTAAAACAAAATTAGTGTTGCAACTGAGGATTTACTTCAGTCTCAGTATAGGATTTGGGTTAACTGCAGTGACACATGCAAATGTCTAAATTTACCTTTCAAATCTATCTGAAAACTGTGGAACATCAAATCAACTAAATGTTGAGTTAAAGAGAATTAACTTGATAGCTTGCAGATTTTCTTATCATGCTAGTATGCATTTGTATTATGTGAATTCTCAGTAGATGAAAGAAAATATGGAGTTGGTTTTGTAGGTTCTAGGGATATAACTCCAACTTAGTCGCAATTTATGAAACAAGGAATATGTCACCACATCCCACAAAAAGAGAAAAAAGAACTTGCTCTTTGGGTGCATAAATGGATTCACTATGCTCTCTTTTCCGTGTAAGTATCATATGCTATGTCATTTTTCTACGAACCAGCTGAAGGTCATTTGGGGAAGTATTTCTTTTGTAAAGTCGGTAGCTTCTGTTTGAAAAGTTTTAAACTTAATGTATATGAGTTGTTGAGGATCGAGATACAAAACTTCTCGTGACTTGTCTAGTTGAAGTCTGAAAATAGAATGATTCTCATTATCCCCCAAATTGATGTGTTTGATAATTGTAGGAAATGTGTGCTTGAGTGTTGATCTTAGCTATCCAACCTATATACTTCTACAATCAAACCTTCACCTTTAAAATGAAAAAGAAAGAATGATAGATACGGAAGGGTACTAGGTGATTAATATGGTACTTTTACTGCTGTTTAATTAGGTTTTCCTTTGTTGGAGGGATTTCTCCTTGTTTCTCTTTGTTTTGCTTTCTGTGTTTTTCATCCCACTCTAGTTCACTGTTTTTGCTCTCAATATTGTCAGCCAGCTACTCAGCTCTTATTAGGGGTGGCAAATGGTTCATCATGATGGTACCTTAAATCCCAACGAGCTAGGGTTGGCTGCATTAAAGTTGTAGTGCCAACTAATTGTATAAATTTAATTGCGTTATAATTACACACAAATGGATGGATAGTATTCGTTTTTATTAATGGTAAGTGGCTGATAAGTGGATGGATTTGAGACATTTCGATTATGATTATAATGGATGAATAGTGAACTATATATTAATCCATTTTCTTCTTGGAAACAACCTCTCTACTTTAAGTGGGGGGAGGTCTTGCGTACACACACCCTTCCCAAACCCTATTTTCTTGGGATTTTACTAGGTTGTTATATTAATCCATTTTATCCATAAGAAATAATCTAGAAAACCCAATCCATCAATTAACAATCGTTTCATGGATACCCGATCCATCCATTATTCCATTTTCTTATAACAGGGTACGTCATATGTGCAAAGATGATTGACCCGTGCATACAATGTTACACTAGAGGGAATAGTAACCACAACATAAAACATTTAATAAACGGGAAAACTCCATGTGTTTGGTAGGTTTAAAAGACCTTTGTTTTAAAATTTATTTTTTATTTTTCATAAAAGTTATCTTATAGCTTTAACCCGATAACGGATAAATCACAAACCATCCGTATGCGACAATCCATTATCATTAACTATTCAACAGATGAATCATATTAACATTCACTTAGATGTGCTGGATGGATGATTGATAAATGGGCTCTTTTTCCACCCCCTGTTCTTATTATATACTGCATGATTGCATGAAGTCATGAACTATAGTGTGCATTTATGACAGTAAGCTGCTTCACTCCTATGTATATGCAGAGCTTCACTTCATCACATGCACACATGCACTCATGCGCGCACACACACATACACATTTTGGTGTTTCAGTTCCATTGCTTTCTTTCTTATTCTGTGTTTGCAGCATCGCCGATTATTGAATATCTGCATTTTGATTTCAGAGAATGCCACAGGACCCATCTCTGAATTTCATGCAACTTGGTAAGTCAGCAGCACTGTATCTAAATTTTTGCATTATTTCATTATCATCTGCTACCTTTCACCCCTTTTTTGATAAGGAGTTTTTTTCATTGAATTTAAAAGTTAAATATATTTATACTTGAATGTTACCTCCTGTCCCTTTTTAATGATCTCACTTTCCCTTTTGGGTTGCCCCAAATTAATGTTCTCATTTCCATTTAAGGAAAACATTGTTTGGATCATATTCTTTTACTCCTCTGCATAAATTTCAATCACACGATTTCACATTTCTTAAACTCCAAGCAAAATGCAAATGTGAGCATTAAATAGGGAGTATTTAACAAGGGAATAGATTTGAGGTGGTGAACCGGTGATGACTGGTATGCATGTTTTACTGTGAATTCTTGTTGGTGTTGTTTTTCTGGTCTTCATTTTGGTGTCCTGTTTCTCTCTTTTTTTTTTTTGTAACTCTGAGCCTTCAAACAAATTGAGGCATATAGGCTTTTTAAACTTAAAACTCATTCCAATTGTATGCTGACTCTCTCGGTGCTTATCAGTTCTCACCCTTTACTCTCTTTTCATAATTTATTCCAGTGTCTTCTTGGCTTTGTCCTTATTTATTTTTTATTTTTTTGGGAAGACAGATGTCTTAGTTATTCCTATGTTATTTTAGGTTTTTCTCATGACTACTTGAAAGCACCAGCAACATCTAGCATAGTGGAATCACAAGTGGAGTTAGAAATGCCCATTTATGATAAGTTTCCTGTTCAGTACAGTTTCATACAGAATCCTGATGTTTTATATGATGTGAGCATGTATTCCCAACCATTGTTAGAAGACAATCTATTTCCTCCTGCTGAGCTTAATTTTGGGATTGGGCCTTGCAATAGCGAGGATATGATTAGTGTGAAAGATCAAGAATGGAAGTCTTCAACTTGCTATGGACGCTTAGGCGGTATTATCAACAATGAAGGTTTGACATGGAGAACTGAGGAAGGAAATCAAGATAATTATTTCAGTAGCAGAAGAGAGATCGATTTGAAGCCAGCCGACCAGACTTGGATTGACAAGAAACCATTTGATGAGGTTGGTCCATTCATCTCAAATGAACCACTAAATCCATTTTCTTCTGTTCAGCTACCTTCCTATTCAAGCAGAAGTCAGTTAGTTTATAGAGAAGATGAAAGCGAAGGCACAATACATGAGTCTGCAGATCCTCACAATTATCATAATCTGATTGTTTCCACTACATCACAAAAGCCCCTTCTGGTTAATAATGACTGTGCTTTGAATGGTCATGTTGGAGACAAATGTGACCCTGTGCCATCGACTTCAATCAAACAGGGATCGGATTCTTTTAAAATAGAGAACATACATGGTTTGCAAAAAACAAACAACTTACCTTCATCATCAGCTGGCCACCAATCAGTTCAAAGCTCATCTCCTCAAGGAACATGTGCTGCTACTGATGATGGCGATGTGTGCATTCTGGAGGATTTAAGTGCATCAGCTCAACCGAACCCAAATGTCTCTAACAAGAGGTCTTCTGTTAACTTACGGCGCCCAAAATGTAGTGATGCTTTAACTCGTGCCAAGGCAGGACACAAGAGGTTCAGACCAAATGATGAGAAATATGTTTTTCAAACTGCATTACTGGTGTGTTCCTGTAATCATGTTTTAACTCTCTATATCTCGTACATTGTTGCAGTTCCATTGATAGTAAGGTGCAAATGGAGTATTCATCTAGAAACATGTCTTTTATAATCATAGTATTTGAAATAGAGGACATTTTAAGGTGCAAAATAGTTACTATAAGGTGAACTCTAAATTTAACTGTATGTTTACATCTTTAGCTCAATCAAATGCTGCTCTCTAATCATCATTTTGAGCTGTTCTATACTGTACTCCATCCTCAAGTTATCTTCTCATTTGATTTTCTCATGCTTATTTTGACAGCAAAATAAGTATCTATAGTATTTTGTAAAGGAGAGTGTGAATATAATTTTGGGACGGATGAAAAAGAAAGCAGGATGTTTATTGATGGCTGAGGCACCATTAGTTTTCTTTTGTGTTGTAGCTTGGGATAACTGGTTTTCATTTTTGACTTGAATAACATTGTGCATTTTCTACAGCACCTTTCTCAGCCAAGATCTGAAGAAAAACCTCCAGATGGTGTTCTTGCTGTTCCTCTTTTGAGACACCAGGTTTATTTTTTTATTTGCATGATGATAATGTGCACAAAGACACAAATTACACAGTTTGAATGGAGCTCTATTAGTTTTCAAATTAAAGTGAAACAACTGAGCAAGACGTTTTTCTCAATTTTCAATTAGCCATTCCCACATTAAAGCATTGATTTTTGCTGCTATTTGAAACCACACATAAATCTGAGGATCAATACAATGCCCTTTATTAAATGTTTGAACATTTTGTGAGAAAACAAATCATGCATTATGTATCACTTGTATTACAGAAAGAAGACAGCTCAAGAAATTCAATTTGGTGGACAAGTTCATAGGAGAAAAAGCAGCTTGTTAATATGTTAAGCTACCAGTATCCAGCCAAATGGCATCTATCTCATTAGATAATAGTCAAAGCCATAATCAGTAGGAAAAAAGATCGAAAACTAACTTCTGCGTAGTTCAAATTTGCATTCAAGGTCATCTTCATCATTCTTGTTGTTACCAGATTGATAGTTCCCATTATATGCATTCAGCCCAAATTGTTCAGTTTTTGCATTTTGTTTTTCTTCAATTTATAATGATAATTTAAAACTATTTTAGATTATTAAGTGACGCTACAACTTTCATGCCCCGATCACAATATAGTTGAGATTAACCTTGGAAACAGCCTCTCTACTTTCAAGTGAGGGTAAGGTTTGCGTACACTCCCTCCCTGACACTACTTTTTGTGGGATTTTACTGGGTTTGTTGTTTTTATTGATGTTGTTGTTGGGATTAAGATGAGGTGGCCGTGGCTGTGATGATCTGCTAACCACAATGCAACATCTTGAAAAACAATATCATTAAGATATCTGGGGAACTTAGATTAAATACTATTTGCATTTATAGTAGGTTATGAGAAACTACATAATGTTTTCAATGGGTAAAAATTTGTATATAGGAAACTTAAGCATTCTATCTCTGATGCTGGATCCCTGCATATCTTGTCTTACGTTTCATTTGCTCCATAGCTGCTCTTCTGCTATCTGATATCTTTTGTTCTTCCTTAAACAACAAAATATGGATGAACAAACTTTCCCCTAGACATTGTATGCTGAGTGTATTGGTTAATATTTAAAATGTTCTTTCAATGAGCAGCGAATTGCTTTATCATGGATGGTCAAGAAGGAAACAACTAACCCACGCTGTTCTGGTGGGATTCTAGCAGATGACCAGGTGTCTTTTAAAGGATTAATATCCCATATTCTGTCCACCAAATTGTTTAAACTTGCAATATAGCTGTGCTTATTATTTTCTTCACTGTAGGGGCTTGGAAAAACAATATCAACTATTGCTCTCATACTCAAAGAAAGATCTCCATCTCTTAGAGTATCTGCAGCCATTACAAAACAGACTGAGGCAGAGACGTTTGATTTGGATGATGATGATGATGATGATGCTACTAATACGTCTAAGGCTACCAAGTCAATTAAAAAAGCTCGTCTAGTGAACAGCTGCTCTTCCACAGGTTCTAAACCATCTGTACGTGCAAGGGGCAGGGCAGCTGCTGGCACCCTTATTGTATGCCCAACAAGTGTCCTGCGCCAATGGGCTGAGGAATTGCGTAACAAGGTTGATAACAAAGCTAATCTTTCTGTGCTAGTATACCATGGATGCAATAGAACAAAGGATCCCTTTGAACTAGCAGACTATGATGTTGTGCTTACAACCTATTCAATTGTAAGCATGGAAGTTCCTAAACAACCTCTTGATGATGAGGATGATGATGACGCCCAAAAGCACAACACAGATTCAGTAAATGGCCTTTCATCTTGTAAAAAGAGGAGAAGTCCTCAGAGCTCTGAAAAGAAATCACCAAAGCGCAAGAAGGGGACAGATGGTGAATTGCTTGATAATCTAGATCGCCCTCTTGGCCGGGTTGCTTGGTTTAGAGTTGTATTAGATGAGGCTCAAAGCATCAAGAATTACAAAACTCAGGTAGCAAGAGCTTGTTGGGGTCTCCGTGCTAAACGTCGGTGGTGCTTGTCGGGTACACCCATCCAGAATGCAGTTGATGACTTATATAGCTACTTCAGATTTCTTAGATTTGAGCCGTATTATTCATATAAAAATTTTTGCTCTTCACTTAAAGTCCCTATTCAAAAAAGTCCAACACGCGGGTACAGAAAACTTCAAGCAGTGCTTAGGACTGTAATGCTACGTCGAACTAAAGGTGAACATATATAATTCTTATTAGTCACTTTATTATTTTAATTATTAACCTTTCTCTAGTCTTGACTTGTGAGTGGTTGCTGATTGCTCAATATTTGATATTGAATTCCTAGGAAAGTGTTTTCATTTGGAGTGGTTGCTTAATAGTTTGATTTGTTTCTATTGAATTCCTAGGAAACTGTTTTCAAGTATGTCAATTATCCGAAATATTCTTCAGCTCTATGTTACTTCTTTCATGGCTTCATTTTCTACTCTCTATCCTTCAATTTTTTTCCCGGTCACTAATTGTGGTTGCGGAGGAAAGTTGATGCTGTGGTAATTGGTAAACTTGATGCAGTAGTAGATTTCTAAAGTACTGTTGTTTACATCAATGCAATCTAATAGCACCAAGCATTCAAGAAATACAAACCACACAACAACAACTACAGACGACTACTTCTAGCCGAAGGCGCCTACCAAACTACTCTAATCCTAGCTACCCAAATGCTCCTACCTAAGGCCATATCCTCAGTAAGGGCAAGAAGTCCTATGTCTTGTCTAATCACCTCCTTCCAATACTTCCTAGGTCTACCTCTTCCCCTATTCTCCCCCCACCCCCACCCCCACCAACATAAGCCTCTTTGCTCTCAATTAAAATGTTGATAGGTGAACCATGAACAAGTTTATGACTACAATTTACTATTGATTGGCTTCCATTGGTGGGGGAGGTTATTCCGAGAGGGGGTTACATTCACTACATCTTGACATCAGTCTCTTTATATAACTGAAGTGTTAGTCTCCACTTTCCAGCATGATGTTTGACTGTCTTTCTTTGATGTGCTATAAAGGAACATATATTGATGGAGAACCGATTATCAACCTTCCCCCTAAGAAAATAGAGTTGAAGAAGGTTGAATTTACACAATGGGAGCGGGAATTTTATTGCAGACTTGAAGCTGAGTCACGAGCGCAGTTTGCGGTATGTCTATATGACTATAATCTCTAATACTCTGTATAACATTTGCCTTGTTTGATCATTTTTTTGCTTGATTCTGAAGACTTACTTTTAACCTCTGGATTTTTGGATCATTCTAGAAATATGCAGCTGCTGGAACTGTCAAACAGAATTATATTAACATATTACTGATGCTCTTGCGTCTTCGTCAAGCTTGTGATCACCCACATCTTGTTGAGAGATCCAATTCAAGTTCAGTTTTGAGAACCTCAATTGAAATGGCAAAGAAGTTATCCACCGAGAAACGATCTTCACTTTTGAAATGCTTAGAGGCTTCTTTAGCAATTTGTAGCATATGCAGTGTAAGTGAGCATGTACATTTCTTGATTTTCCCCTTTCTCTCTTGCTCCCTCTTTTTGTGGATATTTAGTCATACTCCATACTTAGGAAGCAATAATGGTTTGGAAGCCACTGATGTGTAAAGAAAGCCAGAAACTGATGTGTAAATTAGTCATACTCTCATGCTATGGCACACTGGTTGCTGGCATTAAGGCAGAAAGAAAGCCAGAAACTGATGTGTAAATTAAACACCATTTGAGTAAAACAAGAAATAAGATAGATAGATAGATACTGGCTTTATAGAAGGATTAGAAGAGCCTAGTATTTATAGGGTATGAAATGTCCATGGAATCGTACTGTGTAATGACAAGCAGCTCCTAGAGATAAGAAGTCCTTTACTTAAAAGCATCTTGGGCTTCACTCTCATATGAACAGATTTGGGTGTCTTCATGATAACTCAGTAGCTCTAAATCTTTATATCTATAGGCTAAGAGAGTACAGGAGTTGCCTATAGAGAGCCAATATGATCCTGACATAGGATAGTCCTTTACTGATTTGAATATTTGATTAAATAAAACAAAGCATAAAGGGGTTTCTTCACCATTTATGGACTAGTTGAATACTTGGATTTATACTTCATTTTCAATAGGAGGTTTAATATCCCGATAACTATCGACCAACCTTTCCCCGAGCTACCACCATCGTCGCCCACCCGCCACGGTTAATTTCCCGTTGCCGGACACTCCCGTCTATCACTAAAAATCAAATCTCTCTAAATAACTCTATTTCAGATTTCAGAGCCCAGATCATTTATCCTAGATTTCAAAACTCATATCATTTCAATCATCCAAAACTCACCAAAGGGAATCTAAGTTTCTTGTATTTGTTGGTGCTCATTTGATTTGAATAAGGAATTATCATCAGATTTCCATAGTTTCTTTTATAAGTTCCATGAAGATCAATATATAAAATAATATGTATATTTGGAATGAATATTGGTGTGTATATTTTTGGAATAGATATTTGATTTTTGGAACTATACTTTCAATTGCGTATATTGATTGCAACTGTACTGTCAATCGTGTAGGATCCACCTGAAGATGCCATCGTGACAGTCTGTGGGCATGTCTTTTGCAACCAGTGCATTTGTGAACATTTAGCTGGTGACACCACTCATTGTCCTACAACAGACTGCAAAACCGAACTGAGTGCTTCTTTACTATTCTCCAAAACAATGTTAACTGATCCTGCACCTGATGAACAAAGTCAGTTGAATGATACTGATCACACCAATTCAGAGTCAGTTGATAAACCACAGCTGCATACGTTTGGATGCTCGTACGATTCTTCAAAAATCAAGGCTGCTCTTGAGGTTCTACAATCATTGTCTAAATCACGGGATGATAACTCTCCAAAATGTGAAGATGAGCGTAGTAGCTGTAATCAGACAACAAAGATAGCTGGAGAGAAAGCGCTCGTGTTTTCACAGTGGACAGGAATGTTGGATTTGCTTGAGGATTGCCTGAGAAGGTCGACTATCCAGTACAGGAGACTGGATGGAACTATGTCTGTTGTTGCTAGAGACAAAGCTGTAAAAGATTTCAACACAATTCCTGAGGTTTGTTTATATACTCTTCTTGCTATCTCCATTTGCTCTTTTCGGCAAAAGGCGGCTGGACATGGTTTTGAAAATATTGTTTCATGCAGGTCTCTGTGATGATTATGTCTCTGAAGGCAGCTAGTCTTGGGCTGAATATGGTTGTGGCCTGCCATGTGATCCTATTGGACCTGTGGTGGAACCCAACAACTGAAGATCAAGCCATTGACAGAGCACATAGGATTGGCCAGTGCAGTCCTGTCACAGTTTTGCGTTTGACTGTAAAGGATACTGTTGAAGACCGTATTCTGGCTCTTCAGGTCATTTTCTTCCCGTGCCTTTTATCATTTCATGGGTTTCTATGGTTTTTTTGTTTTGAGGGTTTTGGAGGGCTTCAGCCTATATAATATTGATTTATACATGGCAAGATATAGACTAAACCCTCCCTTCCAAATCCCTCCAAAAAAAAGCCTCAATCCACTCCGACACTAAGATGGCGGATGTTTTATGTCTGATTTTGCTTCTCTTTTCAGGAAAAGAAGAGGGAAATGGTGGCTTCTGCATTTGGAGAGGATAAAAATGGCAGTCGACAGACTCGTCTAACCGTGGAGGACCTGGAATATTTATTCCACCGCTAACATTGAGACTCTTAACACTGGTACTTCTCACCATTTCTCACTGGCGTGCATCATACGTATGATAATATCAGACTCTAGGATACACATGGAAAGAACGATTGAGATCTTCTGACTGGTCCGTCCTCGAGGATTAACACAATCCATTTTTCTAATTATTGTTCAATCATCACCCCACCACCCTCTTGTATAGGCGGGGTTTATTCTTCTAGTGTTCTTTAGACCGGACGGGGATGGGCATTTTGCTGGCAAAAGTTCAAGTTGTAGATTTAAGTATGGAAAAGTAGTATTAATACAAGTAATTGTATATGGTTAGTCTCTCTTAGAAATGAGTGCTAATTCGGACGGTGGGGGGCATTTTGTAACTATTTTTGGGAGGCCACAATTTTTTGGCAATTTATAACCCTCTCAATGTATTGGCATTGGGTATAATTTACTACTATTTTGATATGAATTGCATTATTCCACTCTTTGATTGTGAGGAAAAAGTGAATGCTTAATCTTTTTACATGAATTTACTACATTGGCTGTGGAGAGCAAATGAATGTTTTCTACTTTTGTTTTTTTGGACGACATTACCACTGTTGTGTCTCACATTAGCTAATATCTAAGACAAAGGACAATTACTTTTTATAGATTTATATCATGTTTCTTTATATTATACATATTTTCATTGGCAATCTGATTCAAGAAGGTATGCTTGATTTTTTTATATCCCCACCATGCAAAAAGAAAACATTGTGCAGGATGAAGTAAAATTTCAAATTTTCAAATTTATTTTATTTAAAAATTAATACTGAAATAAAAAATTAAACTCACATATTTTAAAACTGCATCAAAGGTTTTTAAAATAAGAGGTAATAATAATATTTTATTTTGCAAAAGTGATAATCTAACACTAATTTATTGGTGTAAGATTGTTACACTAGTTTAATTGGAGCACCTATATTGCTCCGATCGTAAAACTAAATCCCTCATACATGGCTCGTTGCTTACGCACCCATCCTATTACTTACGCCACCCAAATTTTTGTAGACTTAATGGTCAATTTTTTTAACTCAAAATTTGGTTAGTGTAATTGAAGTAGGTGCGGCCGTACGGGGTGCGTAAAGGAAATAAAAGTTTAGATGTATTCAGTAGTTTTTAAATATATAAATTTAGTTTAAAATTTTAAACCACTTTTGTATTAAATGAATTGAAATTAATTTCAATCAAATACTATAAGTTGAAATAGATAATTTAAATTGGAGCCACGATACTATAAGAGTACTGGAAATATCGATGAAGATCGGGGCTTCAAATCTGGGCTTCAAACCTTCTTTTTCTCCTGCATCAACTTTAATCCCTTTAGTTTAACTCATAGTTTCACTGGAAATGGGTTTGAAGCTCTGGAGCTTCAAACATGGCCTTAAACCTTTATTTCTTTAAATTTTTAATGCACATTTTGTAAAACTAAATTAATAAGAATTCATTCATTAATTTTTTAATTGATAATTATTGAATAATCTAGATATATTTCATTGACAAGATAATATCCACGCTTGTAAAATGACTCTCTAAACTCAAAAGACGAGTCGGGTGCAGTCTCATTAACCCAATCGTTAAAATACGGGCGATTGATTAATTAAGAACACTGATGTCATCGTTCGAGCTCGCAACACCAAAAAAGTATGCCAAAACCACAAGTCATTTGAAGCTATTATTTCGAGCATAATTGTCAGCTTGGGATGATCACCCTGGGAAAATTTACCAGTTACTATGCTACGCGGTGAGATAGTTTTTCTATTCCCAATGCATGCAATCAATATTCCAAGCCTGCCGACAAAGCCTTGTTCAACGACATGCCTCGCCTGTAATTGCTCAATGTCGCTCGCTGCCGACTTACGTAAATACCTCTTATGATAAAGTCGAATGATAGCTTTAGAAAATTGAGAACACATGACCTGATGTTTCAACCTGACATCTTTAAGTATTCATCGAACATATCACTAGCCATCCCGTATGCCATGTGACAAAGTGCGACAGTACACTTTTGGACACTGCTAAAATCGCGCTAGCCTCTCACATCAAACCGTTGGGTGACAAGACACCTCGTGTTCAATATTGGTGACTATGCGTAAAAACAAAGAACGACTCATCCGAAAACGATTACTAAAATTCTCCGGTACAGAGTATTGAAATAGTCGTTGGGTAGTGCTTCGTGTGCAGCCTCCGATCACGTTTTAAACGCCCAGGTCGGGTCGAGCACTGTGACAATTCTGTTCCTGTTGTTGTCCTTGCTACCATTGGTAAAACCTACCGAGAAAGCACGAAACATGAGAGCTCTTCTTTCATCGTTAAATGAAGATTATCCCATTTTTGGGTGGTTTTTTTAGAGAGAATTGAGAATATCGAATATTTAATGGATGAGTTATAGAGAGAATGAGAATATGTTGTGTGTGTATATATTTTTTTTAAAAATAAATGGGTATTTATAATTGATTTTTTAAAATGCCCAACGGTCAAATTTTGGACCGCTTGGAGGGGAGGGTGTTTTTGCAACGACTTTCATTTAACGCAACTTGGATTACCCCGACAAAATGACGCGCGGGGGGGGGGGGGGGGNAACACCACTTTGATGCAGCGGACCTCACCCCCATTTATAGTGGCCTAAAGTTAATTAAAGAGCAAAGAAAGTAAGCAGTTAAATTTTTTTGTTGTGTTTTAGAGAGCTTTTATCTACTTTTTTTTTATTTTGTGAACTCAAACAAAAAAAATTTAATCTCGAAGGGAGGAGAAATTTGAAAGATTACCTATACTATACATCTGGATGTATGATATTTCCCTTACATCCGTATAAATAGTCATTGACGAGTAACTAAATATTGATTTTCGTATTACAGAATGTTCATTTTTTAATATAATAGAATTTTAAAGAAATAAACATTCAGTTACTCGAGAATGAGTATTCACTTGTTTAAAAATAAGCATTCGGATATTCGTAAATGAGCAATGACTATGGACGTACGACAAACATAATAAACTAGGTATATAGTGTGAATTTGGAGAGGCTAGAAAATGAAGGTGAAAACTGAAAAGTTCCAATGTAAACGTGGGCGGCCATGCAATACAAACTTAAACCCAGTGCCATTCCTCCTGATCCCAAATCAGCAGTGCGCACAAAAAAGGCGGCAGTGTTCGGCGCAATTCTTGCAAAGGGGCAGTCAGGGTTTGAGGCAGGGGCCAAAAAGGTCTGACCTTTTCCGAAGATTTTACACATGGGGGTCACCAAGACGATGAACTTCTCAGAACTCTATAGGCGGGTCAAGAGAGCGTTGGCTCCTCTCATGGATTCCCCAAACAAAAAATTGGGCAGGGACGGGGATTTAGGGTTTCCGGGGAGGATTGAATTGAAGAATGAAATGCAGTCTGGTTTGACAAGTTCCAGATTGGGCACATCTGCTCAAACAACATGTGCTGGTGGTCTGGAGTCTTCTTTGAGTCCATCAGCTCGGCCAAACCCAAATGTCTCTAGTTGGAGGCCTACTGTTAACTTATGGCGTCCTACATTTAGAGGTGATTTAACTCGTGCCGGGGCAGGGCACGAGAGTTTCATGCCAAATGATGAGCAGTCTCTTATTCAAAATATATTGCTGGTGTGTTCCTGTAGTCATGTTTTAAACTCTCTATCAATGTTCGAAATGGCATATTGCGGTTTTGAGGCGGTTTTCCCCAAGACGTATAATGTAGTAGATGTGCATAAAATATTGGTATTAGAATTAAAGATAGAACATTATAATAATAGCATTTGAAACAGAGGTCATTTAAGCTGTAAAGTAACTATTCAAAGGTGATTTGCATTGTTAACTGTTTCTTTACATCTCACAGTTCAATCAAATGCTGCCCCCCTAATAATCAAGTTGAGCTCTTCATATATTGAACTCCATCATCAAATTAACTTTTAATTTGCTTTTGACATGCTTATTAATTTGTAAAGAAGAATTTGATGATAATTTTGGGACAGATGAAGGCAGAATTGATTTTCTTTCGTGTAGTAGGTTGGGATTGCTGATTTATTTTTTTTAATTAAATGGCTTTGTGCAATTTCTCCAGCACCTTTCTCAGCCAAGATCTGAAGATAATCCTCCAGATGGTACTCTTGCTGTTCCTCTTTTGAGACACCAGGTTATATTTTTTCTTTTTTTAAAAGTTGCATGATGATAATGGATAAAAGACATAAATAACACAGTTTGAATGGATCTCTATTAACTTTCAAATTGTCAGTTTTTGGAATAGCCTTTTCCACACTAAAGAACTGATTATTGTTGCTATTTGAAACCACACAAACAACTATGAGGATCAATACAATGCCCTGTATCACTGTATGAAATGTTTTAACTTTGAACAAGTTGTGAAAAAACAATTCTTGTATTAACAATATAAGATAGCTCAAGGTATTCAATTTGGTTGACAAAATCATAGGAGAAAAAGCAGCTTGTTAATATGTCAAACTTTCTTCTGGTTTAACATATGTCGATGTTTTAAATGTTCATTCAATGAGGCAGCGAATTGCTTTATCTTGGATGGTCAAGAAGGAAACAACAGACCCAAGCTGTTCTGGTGGGATTCTCGCAGATGACCAGGTGTCTTTTCAAGGATTAACATCCCATATTTCTGTCTATCAAATTGTTGACCATTGCAATAGAGCAAAGTTGATTGTTTTGTGAACTGTAGGGGCTTGGAAAAACTATATCAACTATTGCTCTTATACTCAAAGAAAGGTCTCCATCTCCCACGGTTTCTAAACCATCTGTAAAGGATGGTTAGGCAGGGCAGCTGGTGGCACCCTTATTGTATGCCCAACAAGTGTCCTTCGCCAATGGTCTGAGGAATTGCGCAACAAGGTTGATAACAAAGCTAATCTTTCTGTGCTAGTATACCATGGTTGCAGTAGAACAAAGGATCCTTTCGAACTAGCTAACTATGATGTTGTGCTTACAACATATTCAGTTGTAAGCTTGGAAGTTCCTAAAAGACCTCTTGGTGATGATGAGGGGAAAGATGGTCACCCTCTTGGTCGGGTTTCTTGGTTCAGAGTTGTGTTAGACGAGGCTCAAAACATCAAGAATTACAAAACTCGAGTAGCAAAAGCTTGTTGTGGTCTCCGTGCTGAGCGCCGGTGGTGCTTGTCCGGCACACCCATCCAGAATGCAATTGATGACCTTTATAGCTACTTCAGATTTCTTAGATTTGAGCCATATTCTTCATATAAAAATTTTCATTCTTTGCTTAAAGTCCCTATTCAGATATGGCCAAAACATGGGTACATGCTACTTCAAGCGGTGCTTAGGACTGTAATGCTACGCCGTACTAAAGGTGAACATATATCTTTTTTTATTAGTCGATTTATTATTTCGATGGTTGCTGACCTTTCTCCCGAGTCTTGACTTTTGAGAGGTTGCTTAGTAGTTTTTTCCCTCCTCATTTTCCAATGTAGTAGTTGATATTGATTTTTGTATTCATAGGAAACTGTTTCCAAATATGTCAATTGTCTGAAGTATCATTCAACTTTGTGTTACTTCTTTGATGGCTTCATTATCTACTCTGTCTATTCTTCAAACTTTCTCCCAGTCCCTAAGACTATGTATGGTTGAAGGAATTTGTTAGGAAGAAGAAAACAAAATGATATGGAAAACAACTTTTCTTGTTTAGTTAGTGAGAAAAAAGATCGCAGGAGAAAGTGAATAAAGTACAACACACACATAGGCAAAGAACAACTTAAGGTTAACAAATGAAAAGTCCGCTCAATTTCACTTAATCCATCATTGCTCAAATTCTCCGTTCAAACCCTAATCACCCAATTTCTCTCTTCTATCCCTTCTCTCCCTTCAATCCCTATCCCTCAACAAAGGAACTATGGAAAAGTAGTTTCTTCACCTATTTCTCCAAAATCCAAACAAAACTAAGGTTTTGGATTTCTTTGGTTTTCTCTTCTTTTCCTTAACAATTTTCTTTCCTTCCTAATTTCTATTTTACCATTGATTGTCTTGAGCTGGGGAGGTGGGAGGGGTCACATTCACTACATCTTGACATCAGTCTCTTTATAACTGTAGTGCTACAGTCTTCATTTTCCAGCATGATGTCTGAGTGTCTTATTGTGATGTGCTATGTAGGAACATATATTGATGGAGAACCAGTTATAACCCTTCCGCCTAAGAGAGTAGAGTTGAAAAAGGTCGAATTTACTCATCGGGAGCGGGAATTTTATCGCAGAATTGAAGCTGGGTATTGTGCACAGTTTGCGGTTTGTCTATATAATCTCTCTTATATAGCATTTGCCTTGTTTGATCATTTATTTATTCTGCTGGATTCTGAAACTTACTTCTAACCTCTGGATTTCTGCATCATGCTAGACATATGCATCTGCTAGAGCGGTCAAACGGAATTATATGAACATATTACAGATGCTCACGCGTCTTCGGCTAGCTTGTAATCACCCGCATCTTGTTGAGAAATCTGATTCGAGTTCAGTTTCGAGAACTTCAATTGAACACGCATACGATTCTTCAAAAATCAAGGCTGCTCTCGAGGTTCTACAATCTTTGTCTAAATCACGAGATGGTAACTCCCCAAAATGTGAAGATGAACATGGTAGCTGTAATCACGCAACAAAGATAGCCGGAGAGAAAGCGCTTGTGTTTTCACAGTGGACAAGAATGTTGGATTTGCTTGAGGATCGCCTGAAAAGGCTGTCCATCCAGTACAGGAGACTGGATGGAACTATGTCCATTGTTGCTAGAGACAAAGCTGTAAAAGATTTCAACACAATTCCTGAGGTTTGTTTATATACTCTTCTTGCTATCTCCTTTTGCTCTTTTCTGCAAAATGTGGCTGGACATGGTTTTGAAGATATCGATTCGTGCAGGTGTCTGTTATGATTATGTCTCTGAAAGCAGCTAGTCTCGGACTGAACTTGGTTGTGGCCTGCCATGTCATCCTTTTGGACCCGTGGTGGAACCCAGCAACTGAAGATCAAGCCATTGACAGGGCACATAGGATCGGGCAGCGCCGTCCTGTCACAGTTTTGCGCTTGACTGTAGAGGATACTGTTGAAGACCGCATTCTGGCTATTCAGGTGAGATGTTCTTCCCCTGCCCATATCATATCATGGTTTCTAAGGGTTTGTTTGGACGGAGGGCTTCAGTCTATATCTTGACAAATTGAATGTTTGGGGGTGGGGGAGGGGGTGTTTATTAGTATGAATAAGAGGTGATCTGAATATTTTCAAACATATATTTGCTAATCTTTCAATTTTTAAAAACCTCTAATACTTGTCAAGAGATTAACTATGAAAACGCTATAGCTAAACATTGTCGTTAAATAACTTTTTCAAAACACTGACATTGTTACCAAACGTGCACTAAACATTCCCTTTGAAACCAATTTAAAAAAATGCAATCCATCCTGATTCTTAGATGATGCATCTTTTACGTCTGTTTTTGCTTCTCATCTCAGAAAAAGAAGAGGGAACTGGTGGCTTCTGCATTTGGAGAGGACAATGATGGCAGCCAACAGACTCGTCTAACTGAGGAGGACTTGAAATATTTATTCCGCTACAAAGCTTGAGACTCTGACATTGGGACTTCTCACCAGTCACCATTCCATTCCTAATTGCCAATATTTAGGTAGTATTAGTAGAAGTAATTGCATATGGTTAGTCTCTCTTAGAAATGAATGCTTTTCCAGACGGTAGGGGGGCCTTTTGTATCTATTTTCTTGGGAGGCCTCAATATTAAGGCAATGTATGACCCTCTCACAAAGTTTTGGCAGTTGCTATAAGTTATTTTTATATGAATTGCATTTTTCCAGAGTAATAATAATGATGATGATGAGTGCTTACAAAAACAAGCTTGCATGCCACAAGAGGATGATAAGAGCATCAAGTGATGAAACAAATTTTGATACAAAATTATACCACGAAACAAATTGGGACAACGTAACAATGATAATCTACAGAAGAACTTTGTTTCTGGCATCTCTTTGGGACAGCCAATTCAAGATGTCGTTTCGGACAATGGCAACATTTTCATCAGTCTCTCCGAACAACAAGGAATGCATCATTCCCTCATAGATCTTGATGCTTTTGTCTTTGCTTCTTGCCATCTCATACAATTCCCTGCTCACATCTGGGTCTGTAACCACATCTGCACTCCCATGTAACACTATAAATGGAAACTCAACATCCCTTATTTTGCTGGCCAGACACTCTGTCGCCCTCAACAGCTCCAGCACTGTCCCTAATCTCGGTCTCCCTCTGTACCTATGATCAAAGATGAATCGATTAAATTCAATCATTTTCCGTGTTTTTGTTCCCATGAAAATTATAGTACTTTCCCATGAGATTCACCCCAGCAATGATCTTCTTTGAAAGGGTCCACCCCAAATTACCTGTTGGGATTCATCCCAGCGATGATCTTCTTCTCCGGGACCTTCACAGACTTGTCTAGCAAGTCTGCAGTGGGCACAACAGGCAGTGTGGGTGCAATTCTTGAAAGGGCAGTCAAGATTTGAGGCAGGGGCCAAAAAGGTCTAACCTTTTCGGAGATTTTACACATGGGGGCCACTAAGATGGCGCCATCGCTGAACCGGTCAGGATTCTTGAGGTGGATCAAGAGACAGATTGCCCCTCCCATGGACTCCCCAAACAGGAATCTGGGCAAGCTCTGGAATTTAGGGTTTTGGGACAGGACTGAATCGAAGAACGAGACGCAGTCTTGTAGGACAAGATCAAGATTGGGCACGTAGGCCTTTAGCCCTTGGGACAGGCCATGGCCTTCCAGATCAAGGGCAAAGCAAGCGTACCCATTCTGCGCCAGGAAGATTGGGGTCGCTTGGAATGTCCAGCTGATGTCATTGCCGTACCCGTGGACCATGAAGATGATGCCACGAGGCGGGTTTGTTTGGGGCAGCCATGATCTGGTGAATAGGGTTAGGCCCCTTGGGGAGAGGAAGAAAGAGTTGGTCGAATTGATGGCTTGGCGGGAATAGTAGTCTTCCTCTCGGACGTCCCCCCAGTAATAGGGTCCTTTGGTTTCCATTTGTGTCGCGGAGGAGATGAAAAAATGACTCCACTGGATCAATTCTTCTACTTCGAGCCTCTCCTCTCCAAGGTAGAAGAAAGTTAAATTTTGGGAAGCTATATGCCATTTTAGTTTCCAAATAGTGATTTAGCAACTCATTTTTTCACATCTTCTCACCTTTACACTTTCAAAATATTTTATTACTTAAATTAAGCAAATTTTAAAGAAAGTCAGCAAGATCCCTCACATTCATCTTCTTCGGGAGGGGGGGGATTGAAAATCGGCAAGATTCCTCGAAGCTCGATTAGCTTTGCTTCCTTTGAAGACGGGTATAGACCTCGATTCGGTTGCGGCGGAGACTGTCAATCGAGGGTGAAGAAATATAAATACTCCGTATGAAATCGATTCGGTTGCCCCAATCGCGGTCACTTCTCCGATCAGAACCAAATCGAGATCAAAGGCTTCCGGCAACGGTGTGGAAGAGTTGAAGCGAGGTGGAAACAGGCAACGTGGTGAAATACAGTGTCTTTTAAATATGGACCATGCTACACTTACACCAAAAAATATACCACATTTGTACACCACAGGCTTGCACAAACATTTCGATGGTTTACACCGACACAAGTGTTGGTGCGTTAATAAATATTCACACGGACACAAATGTTGGTGCGTTTAACAAAAATTAGTTTTACACCAACACAAAGTGTTGGTGCAAAACTGCGGGGTAAAAATTGGGGTACAAACCTTGGGGTACACATAGCATAATCCTTTAAATATAGATGTTTGAACATTAAAAATAGATTGTGGTCTATTTTTTAGATGCTCCATTGGAGACCCAATTAAAGAATATTAAAAGTTATTTCTTTCAAATTTTATACTTTACTACTCCCTCCGTCTCTTTAAACATGAGATTTTTTTATTTTGAGGAGATTTAAGAAGATGTATTTTGGTATTGAATTTCCAAAAATGTCCTTTGATGTGATGAGTAAAAGTACGATTTCATGGATATATTATTAGTAAAAAGGTATGATGTGATAAGTAGGGTATAAAAAAGTAAGGGATAAAAGTGATTTTTTTAATAGAAATAAGAAGTGTTTTTTGGAACGGATGAAAAAAAAAATGAGAAAGGTTTTCGAGGGAGTATATTTTAAAAGCTCCGTTGTTCTTAGAATATATCTCTCTTTTAACTCTACAAGTTTAAGGAAACCTAATAAATGTTTGTTAAAAAACACTACGGAGTATAAATAAATTCGACATTTTTCTAACACTTAGTAAAAAAAATTCACAAGAAACAAATGCTACCACAAATCCACAATAGCTTAAACAATTCTAATATATTTTGGATTGGGAGTGTGTGTGCCCACATTTTGATCTCGTATTAGTATGATATTATCAACTCTGGGCCAAAACTTCATGAGTTTGTTTGTTTTCAATTCCCGGTCAAAAAACCTCACATTAATGGGTTGGTTTAGACTTACTCCCTCCGTTCCATAAAACCCTTTCCCTTTCGTTTTTTTCCAATTCATTAAAACACTTCCATTTTCTATTAAAAAATCATTTCTACCCTTTTTTTTTCCTACCCTACCTATCACATCATACTTTTTCTCTCATAACCAAACTATCACATCTTACTTTTACCGATCTCATCAGGGGCACAATTGGAAAGTCAACCAAAATTATACTTTTCTTATTTTGGCCCAAAGTCAAAATGAGAATTGTTTTAAGGAACGGAGGGAGTATTTATTTAGGTCATTCTTCTTCTTCTTCACTTCTCATGTGGGATGGGATTTGCACCTCAACAACCTTCCCTCAAACTCAGACCACACAATCTCGTGACATTCCCTTTAGAAATTATCCATTTGATATGCACACAATCTTGCACTGTTGCTTCAACTTCATGGGACATGCCGCCCGACATCCTCCTTCTGGTTCCATCATTAACACTCATAGGACACATCACTCAACCACCACTTGTTAGAAAGACTTTCGACATAAAACACTATTTACAGGCTGTAGATCTCCGATCACGTTGTCACATCGGGTACACTGAGAACTCTGTGCAACGCAGTCCGCCACTCCACCTCGCACAGATTTTGGCTTTGATACAACATTCTGGGACTGCGCATGCCCTCACCTCCAACCCCATATTCGTATGCTATTATCCGCATCAAGCCTGTATGAATTTGTTATTAGATACGTATCAAAAGGCCTCATACTAATTCCTTCAGTTGAACCAATCTTTTTTGTTTTTTTTCGGTGTGGAAGACAATTTCCATTGAGCAACTCACTACTAACCCTATCACACCTAAAAGACTTAAATACTAAAACTCTACGTTTTAAGTTCGGTATTACGTGTTGATGGTATATTTTGATAAATATTTTAATTTATTTAATGCACAAAGTTTTTTATTAAGTAAATTTTAAAAAAATTCAAACAAATGGTTTCACATTAGTTTGTATGATTATAAGAATTAGTCTATGTTGTCTATGTATCTATTTTTAGTTTGTCTATTTTATTTTCTTTTTTTCTTATTTGCACGTTACAAATTAAAAAGCCTAAAATATAATTAGTTGATCAAATAATGACAAAAACTTTATATTTTTTTAAAAATATAAAGCTTTAGCTGACCAATTTAACCGAATAAAAAATATAATATATTACATAACCTTGTTTAAAAAAAATAAAATAATTGTGTAGATTAAAAAATTAGAATAGAGAAATACATATTGGTATAATATTTAGAAATGATAATTTTAAACAAAATTATTGGTTATCGAATTTAAGATTAATGAAAGTTATTTTAATTAATCAAAAAAATTATTTTTTAAAAAAATCATATAATTTCTTTCGAAAAGTAACAAAATAAAATAAACGGTGGATAATATTGAAAGTATATTACTAAAAATATGTTATTTTTTTAAAATAATAACATAATTATACATCATGGGATATATTTAATTGACATGGTGTATTTAGTGTTTTAACGGGTGTGGCTATCACTATCCTTTTTTATAGGTTTACAATGCTACATTGTTCCCCCGAGAGTTTATACTCTCTTTGCTACATAAAAAAAGTTTATTTTTTTTGTCCGTCTAAAAAAAAAACTCTACTTTTACAATCTTGTTTTGTAATTACCTCAGGAACAATTCTAATGCCATAAATCGTCTATTCGTCTCTATCAAATTACACCCATAATTTTCAAATTTTATTATACTCCGTACTATTTTTCTAAAATATTTATAATTGAAAATGCAATATGAATAAGGGTATAATTTAGAGCATGTGAATTGTGTTGGAGGTAGTAGAAATAAAAGACAAAAATGTTTAATTAGTAAGAAATAAATATCTTATCTCATTAAATTAGAAGCGTAAATAAATTATGTTCAGGAACGATTTTCAAAATAAAAAATTTTGTCAGATAACTTTAAAAAAAATTAGAGAGACCAAAAACAAAAATTATTTATTTTATTGGTGCCAAAAACATATTTAGCCATTTCTTTTTCAATTCCCAGCAGTCCACCACTCCACCCTTGCTCTAAAGTGTGGCCGGTAAGTGTTTATTCCACTACGATCATTTTGTTCATTTCTTTTTTAAAATACTTCTTTTACTTTACGTGTAAAATCTTATCTTTTTATAAATTATTTTATTTAAAAATTAATATAAAATAAAAGGTAAATCGTATCAAGAGTTATGCAAATGAGTGGTGACAAGAATTTCTTATTTTATTAATAAATAATTAATAAAAAAATATAATTACACAAAAATTATCGAGCATTCTGGAATAGCAATTAAATTGCTTTTTCAATGGGAGGAAGTAATTTAAGAGTTGTGTTTCCATTATCCAATTGTTCTCATTTGACATGTGAATTTTTTCACATTTTTAGTGCGCCCTATAGGAATGTTTTATTTTTTTCTTCAAAAAAGTCAACTCGTCTATGACATTTATATATTAAAGTTTACAAAATAAGTGTGAATTTTAAGATTACGTAACAATTGACTAATTACTACGGAGTATGTGAGCTAAAGGATATGATTAGGCACTTCAATTACTTCCAGCACATTATTTTTTAATATTATCATATCATTAAGGGCATAATGTTGACAGTTCCAACTAATCCAAGTTAGATAAGATCAGATACTTACTGGTCTTCTGAAAATTATTTACTTTCATATTAGTGTACTAAGTAATAATAATTAAAGAGAGGCATTCATTCATCACTGGTAGGACTAAATAAGCCAAATCATGACATTAAACACTCACATGCATATCATTATTACTCCCTCCGTCCCGAAAAACATGAAAGTTTTGATTTTGAAAAAGAATTTAAGTAGAATGTATTTTGGTATTGAATTTTCAAAAATGTTCTTTGATGTGATGGGTAAAAGTATGATTTGATGGATAGATTATTACTCCCTCCGTCCTAAAACTTTCTTCCCGGTTCGCAAAACGAAGAAAAATTTCAAGTTTTTTCAATCTATTTTATTTAAATATTGGTATAGAAATAAAAAATAAAACATACATATTTAAAAACTACATCAAAAGTTTAACAAAACAAGTGGTGACAAGAATATTTTATTTTATCATATAGGCCATGAAAAAACACAAATAAATATAAATTCTCGTGAAGTTGGAATAGTGCTCTGGGAAGAAGGTTTTAGGACGGAGGGAGTAGTAAAAAGGTATGATGTGATAGGTAGGGTATGAAAAAATAAAAGGTAAAAGTAAATTTTTAATAGAAATGAGAAGTGTTTTTTGAGACATATGAAAAAAGAAAGAAGAAATGTTTTTAGAGACAGAAGAAGTATTGTTATTACTATTATTATTAGTTTGCGCTCAAAATATATAATGGGGCGGGTGTGCACTCATAGTGTATAGGGAATTTTACGCGGAGTAACGCTTTTTTTACCCTGTTTGGATAATGTTTTAGAAAAGAAAAAGAAAATAAGGTTGGAAAACTCTTCCTCTTCCATTTTAGTGAAATTTGCACTGAATAGAACTAAAACATAAATCATTTCCCAATATAGTACTTAAACTTTTTTATTCTCTAAATAGAACTTAATAATGACTAGTGAGAAGAATAATGTCCAAGTGATAATGAACATTTAGTTGAATAATGACTAATAGATAATAACCAATGGTCATACATTGGAAAACAAAAGCATATGATCCTATTTTGAGAAAGTCATTATGTTTTAGTTTTAATAATCTATCCATCACATCTTATTTTTATTCATCATATCAAAGGTAAAATTGGAAATCAACTACAATTTAACACTTTCTGAGTTTGGCCTTTGGCCAAAATGGTAAGGGTTTTCCGAGACGGAGAGAGTAGATATTTTAGGATGAAAGGAAAATAAATCTATTTTACCTTATAATTAATGGAGTAAGTTCCATAAAAGATCTCAGTTATATATAGTTCCTTTTACATATTTAGTTCCTACATATCAAATATCAATAATTTAG